AAAGCCATAAATCACAAGTTCATTTTTTTCATTTTTACACAAAAAGTCCATAAGAGGTTTCGAGTCAGTGATAAACGTAGATATGGTCTTTTTTCTAATCAAACAAGCTAATTTATCCATCTCAGCGAGAACTGTTAGTTTCACCAACCATTCCTCTGTTGTATGTATTGCCAAATCTTTCCATCAATGTGGATATAATAATCTCGCCGGCGTAATCATATATTGAAATAATCTTCCATGGCTTTTTTCTAATTGTTTATCCATTAGTCCTAAAACGAAAAGGTCTTCCGATCTTTTTGACTGTGATTATAAATGCATTTATATTTTACCCTCTCGCTTGTAGACATAATTCCTTGTAGACATGAAGGAAGCCTACGCAGCACTGGATTGCCCAGTGTTGGTGCCAAGATATAAATGACCTCTATAGATCTAAAGGTTAAAATTTGAGACACTGTATGTTCTTCTGGCCCTTTGGAATTAATCGATTCTTGGCACAATAGTTGGTGTCAAAGACAAAGATTTGTGGTATGTTGTTACGGCCTTATCTGGCCTTGGAATGGCCGTCTCCAGCTTTACAGTTCCCTTTCCCTGCGATCTCCTGACTTCTCTCCAAGTGAGGGGCGACACACAGATTTTATACCCCTCAACGGTGCCTTTGGATGGTATCGGATTAAAGTACTCTGTTAACCTTGGTACAGTTAAGGATGACTTAAGCCTGCTTCGTTCATGGGTTGGGGACAAGATGGGGACATGTTCAGGAAAAATATATTGTCCAAGCATGTTTGTGCCTGCGTGAGCAGCAAGTAGCATGGGCCGCTTGAAAGTCAACAAAGAAGCCTGGTGTGTAGGTGTATTGAATATAGTTAGCAGGTTGCAGGCAACAGTATGTTGGCTTGCAAGTGTTGATAGCTCAGGTTAGAAATCCTAAGTAGTGAACCAATGTGTGACTGTGCATGAGGTAAACTAGGCTGTGGTTGTGCTCGTGGTATGCCTGCCACAGTGTGCCCAAACTGACTGGTATTTTCAGTGACACAGATACAACTAAGGGTGGCCACTTAGCCTAAACTTCTCCTTGCTCTTCGAAAGCTTTATGCGAAAGCCTTGATTGAGCAAACCCAGGATGAGTGGTAGAGACCAATATCTATAGCAGTGTTTCTCAACCTTGGCAACTTTAAGATGTGTGGACTTCAACTCCCAGAATTCCCCCGCCAGCCATTCTATGGAAGATTGTAACTTGGAATGGAAGAGGAGCAAACAGTAAAAATTATGAATGAACATATGAAATGAATGAAAGAAAAATAGGTTGTGTGTCTCTGAAACTAAGAGGAAGGGAAAGGAAATAATAGATATAAATGAAAGTGGTGTAATCTAGAGGACTAGAGTTGGTTAATTCACGGAGGAAAGAAAAGACACAGATTTAATTATGTCTGAAAGAGCTAAATGTCAGAAAAAATGGGTCATCTAGATTATTCTTATTACCTTACTGTTTTGATTTTTTTTTTTTTTTAGTTTTAGAGTCCACTGGAGTTGGGCAGCCAATAAATTTAAATAAATAAATAAAATTATTGGTGAATATGAAAGAAGAATCTATGGGTTTGCATGTTGTGCTCCAGTGAATGGTGATAATGGGATGAATTTTGGGGGGAAATGTACAGTATTCTGAATGAATGTGATCTGGGGAGGAAAGAGACATGAGGTGATATGAAGGGATGGGTGGGAATGAAAAGATAATACAGAAAAAGAGAATGGGCCTTTAGGTAATCCAGGAATGAGTGAGAATAGTATCTAGGGAATGTTTGCTTAGAAAAGTTTGTTTCAACTATATGGTTTTAAATATAAATCTACTCATACATACACATATCAAAAGAATAAATATAAATAAAAAACATGATTGATTTGGTTATTTGTGCTGAAAAATGATGAGAAGTTCTAAATGTGGGAAAGCCCATGTTTTGGTAATGTCTAGAGTGGATTTTGGGGAAAAATTGAACAGAAAAGAAGAAAAAAGGTGAAATAATCGAGTGTGAAAGTAGAATGACAGCAGAAAGAGAAAATACAAGTCCATTATGAAGTAGTAATAGGACCATAAGCAGCAGTATTTTTGATAGGTGCCATAAACTAGCGTGTGGTAGAGCAGCAATGAAAGCCTTGCAAAACATATTCAGGTGCTAGGATGTGTCTATACCTACAAAGATTAGAATAGCGAAGGCAGTGATCTTCCCTGTGACGCTCAACGGAAGCAAATGTTGGAATTTGAAGAAGCAGGATAAGAAGAGTATTGATGCTTTTGAGTTTGGGTGTTGGCGAAGACTCCTGAGAATATCATGGATAGCTAAGAAAACAAACAAATGGATCATCAAACAAATTAACCCAGAGTTCTCTCTTGGGGCTCCAATGATGAGGCTCAAATTATCATACTTTGAACACTTTATGGAAAAATCTATAATGCTAGGAAAGGTGGAAGGAAAGTGAAGAAGAGGACGACCAGCAGCAAGGTGGATGGACTCCATTACAGTGGTGCTGAACGCACTACTGGAAGTTCCGAAGGGCCAAGTTGGAGACAAATTGTCCTGGAATAGATCTATCCATGTGGTCATTAAGAGCTGACACATTATCATAATCATACATCTAAAAAAAGAACAAACAAAAAATAGTAGATTAACCTCCCAACAGAATCAAATGAAAATGAACACAAAGAAAGAAGATACATTGCAGGATAAGAAAATTTAGAATAAAGTCAGCTATATCAGCCTGAGAGGTTATAAAAACCAGGGTTCTGTGGGAACTGCCAATGACAATCCTTGAACAGGGCCTGAAAAACTCATCAGGCCTGTTGCTGTTGGTCCTGCTGCACTGGGGAAGATGGGAGTTGTATTCCAACACATCTGGAAAGCATCAGATTGGGGAAGGTTTCTAAGCTCAAGTTTTTCTGCAGCTCTCCTTTATATTTCATTGTTTGAAATGTATCTTTCTCTAAGTCTCTTTGCTTCTTTATGGTTTTAAAAAGAAAACCCTAAGGGAAATTTCATGGAGTGATTCATCATGCAAAGGATGTGGTTGTACTTTTTATAGAATAGGAACTGTTCCACCACTTGCTGCCTGGATGGCTATTTGCATAGAGACAATTGAGTCTCTTCTAGCTGTGGGGAACAGTGCTTGTAAGCTTATGCTTTAAAAACTT